ACGAATCTGTCTTAAGGACACAGTGTCAAACACTGGACTTGATCAGAAAATAATTCGAACAAATTAAATCAAGTAAGTTATTTAATTTATTTTCAGTGTTGTTTTTTATTTATTAAAATCAGATTTAAATTTTGTTTTTGTAACAAAATAAAAATCTGTTTTTATTTATTTATTTTTTATTTCGAGTTTGATTTTTGTAATCAAACAAATTATCTCCTTTTCTTTATTTCTTTAAATTCTAATTGTTGTTGTGTACATAATAGAATTAAATCTTTTAAATACAGTGAAAATTGTCTAACAAGATGTAATTTCTAAAATTACAGAAAATAATTTATATTTTATATAAATTTCAAGAGATATATTTACAATTTATCTTTAAATAAAAGTATCATATCTAAAATTAAAATATGTTTCAATTGAATAGTAGAATTTACAAGTCATTTTGCGTGCAAATGAAAATTGTGTCAGGTACAAGTGCAAACTCATGCGTTTGCATACAAATTAAACTTGCACTATATAAAAATAATAGGAAAATTACAACAAAAACTTTAAAATTTGAACATGGTAACAAAATAAATTTTTAATTTTATGGATTTAAATCTTAATCAGTTAATTAATTTTTAATCTAAATTATTTACTTATTTTTGTTAAGTAAAATTGATGAAAAAGTCATTAAACTCAATGAAAAAGAATATTTTAGACATTTTTCATATACCTAAATTGAATATAATATCTAAAATACTTCTTTTCCGATAATTTTACATAACGAAAATAAATAAATAATTTAGATTGAAAATAAATTGAAAAATTAGGATTTAAATTGAAAAAATAGTTGCGAAAACGGTTTATAAATTTCAAACTTTAATTCACGATTAGCGGATAGATTGATGCAGATTAATGTAGATCGATACAATTTTAACAAATTTGACGATATTTTTCATAATCCTACCATCTAGAATTGTACAAATTTTAATATTGACAGATAAATAAATAAATAAATAAATAAGGTGTTGTAAAAAGTACTAGTTAACAAACCTAAAATGGTTGTACTTTTACATTCTTTATAAAAATATATGAAAAAAATTCAATTCCAAATAAAAAATTTTAGAAGAATAATGTGACAAAGCTATTTTTATATAAACAATTTTATTTTTATAATTTTTTTGTTTTAAAATGATGTCTTTATATGAATTTTTTATTTATATATCATCACTCAAATATATGTCATAAAGAATATATAATAATTTTAAGAAAAATATTTAAGATCCACAAAAAAAAAACTCTCACAATAGTACCCACAATGATGCAGTATCACATGTGTCAATTTTTGATTTGTTACACGTTCAATAATGGAGGGCCCAACTCCTTTACCACATCATTATAGTGAATTTGTAGGTCTAAAAGTGTGGATCATTACTCTAATTTTAAATTGGGACCTTTGGTGAAAGCCCCTTAATAAAGTTTCTTGTAAAAAGGACAAGGGTGGAAGATTTTCTGTGTGAAGGACACACGGGAAAATTCTATTTCTACACATCTAGTTATCTCAGTGCACATCATTTCTCAGTACACACTCATTATAGGCTATTGTTCTCATTCTATATACTTCGTGTTCTAATTATACCTTAATTTATATCATTGTACACACACCACCTAAACCCTCCTTTTACACACCTATACCCATTATGGTCATCTTTCTCTCTCTCCAAAATAGAGAGATGATTCTTATAAATTTGGAAGATCTATCACTCAAAGTGGCAGATGTCTGAAACTAACCCAATGTATACCTAGCTGAAAATTTTAATAAATCAAAGCAATTAAAGAACAAAAATATATAAAAATGCAAAGGTACCTATTCAACATTGGTACTGAGAATCTTCAAGTGGAAAGACAAAACCATTCTGGATTGTATTTTCTTTGAGAGATTCTAAACATTATAAAAATATTAGATATCCTTTATACTATAAAATTTTAATACCAAGGAAGGATCCTAAAAAAAATCCCCTTAAATAAATTGGGAGTGATATTTTCACCAAAAGAGCTCAACAAGGGAGTTTTGGCCAAAAAAATCCTTAAAACTAATCAATGTTCTAATCGCATTCATTGCCTCAAATTTTAGAGTACCAAATATTTTTTACTGTCAATTGGAGCAAGATATTTCCGATCAAAAAAATTGGAGCAAGATATGGATCTCAGGTTAAGTTTGGCATATAGTTAAAAATAAAGTCATATATATATTTTTTTTAAATCTTTTGTTTTTAGTTATTTTTTAAAAAAAATTATGTCAATTTTCTCTTTTACTTTTCCTAACCGTTTTGGGTAGACAGATATAAAAAGCAAAAAATTTTGAAAAAAAATCCAAAAAGAGTTCACTAAAGTCAAAATAAATAAATAAATATCAATTGTTTTGGCCTATCTTTATCCTTTATGGATTTTTTTCTTCAAATTTTTACTTTTTGGGTCCATCTAGTTGAGTCAAACCTAAAATTGTAATTTTTTTATTTTTGTTTTATAAAAAAATTAACTGAAAAATAAAAGAAAACAAAAAAATCCTAACAAAATCAACCCCAAACAAACACTCACTCTCTCTTGGATTCCTCACATGCCTATCATGATAATATTTTGGGAAAATATGATTTGAGAATTTTGAGTTTGTAAATTTTTGAATTATAATTTAAGTGTAGAAAATTTGTTTAGTGAATGAGTTTTGAAAAGAGTTTTGAATTGAATAGGAAATTTTTGATGTAGCATATGATATCTGATACAAAAACTTACAACTCATAACTAAACACACAACTCAAAATTCTATTAAAAGTTCATAAAAAAATTTAAAAAATTCAAAAAAATATTGTTTTACTAAAAATATTTTAAAAAAAATCGCACTGTTCAGGTCAACTGGCCAGACGAATGTCCGAGGGACGATTGGTAGGCTAAATTTCAAAATTTAAAAACCCGCCTGGAACGAGTTTTCAAAAGGAGAGGTGGAATAAATTTTTCAAAACTCAAACAAAACATCATACTAGAATATAAGAGTAGAACTATGATTCTAAAACCCTTCCAAACACAACCTAACAGTCTTAACTCTGTTTTAAATAAAATTTTGATTGAATCCTATTAATACTATGTTAAAAAAGTTAATTCTTTTGTTAATAAGAATTCAATGAAAATTTCTTTAGAAAAGTAAGATTAATTGAATATTTTCTTAAATAGTTTTCTAGGTAGCTACAAAACAACACCATGAAATGGAGAGTAACCCAGTCTGACAAAAACATAATGAAACCATAATAATGCATCATTAACATAAAATTAGATCACAAAACTAATATTAAAAATCAATATGTGATTCTGGTTGAAATTACAAATTTTAAGACAACAATTACATGTCACCCATTAATCTTACAAACAATTTCTTTTCTCAATTTCATTATTATTTACTGTTTGTCGATTTCTTGATTTTTTTTTGTTAATATTTTTATTTTTTTTTTACTTTTTTTTTATTTTTTTTTGTAAAAGTAATTTATGTTTAATTGTTTTTGGTATTTAAAAAAATAATAATTTTGGATAGAGTTGAATGGAAAAGAAAAATTCATACAATTGATCCTATTTAATGAAACTTAAAATTTGGTTTGATTCGGTTTGTGTCCGGAATCTAATTTGGTAACAATCACCACCACATCTATGATGATCCTAAACCATATGCTAATTTTTTTCATAAACTTTTTTTGTGTACGAAGCAGAGTTGATAAAACATGCACTAGAACCATAAATGGCCTAGACGAAATCAAAAATAGGTGACAGAATCAACAAAAGTATAACTTATAAGTTTGTGATAATTTTTGTGAGGAAAATGTTATGGTTATGCACCCTCCTACAAAATTTATAATTTTATTATAAAATTTCATAACATCAGTCACAAAATATGTAATTTGATCACAAATTAACATAATAAAAAAATTCGTAACTAAGTCACAAACTTTTACAACATCAACTATAAAATTTGAGACATTTTGTTTCATTGATTTGTTTCAAAATTACGTATTTTATGATTAATATTATGAAATTTTGTAATAAAATTATACATTTTGTGGTTGGATACCATAGGATTTCCCTCTTGGATGTGATTTATAGAAAATGCTATGATATCCACCCTTAAAGGAGTGCATACTGTGGGGGCATATTTTTGTGAATGACAGCACGTGGCCGAGGTTCCAAGTGTCCTGGTCATGGCACCGAGGTGGTCTCAGCTAGGTCGAGGTTATCTACGAAGATACCGGAATCCGAGATGAACGGATAAGGGTCAAGAGTCCTACAGTGAGGGGAGGATCTCAGTCTGGAAAAGGATAAAACTCTTAGAGAGTTTATCTTTATCTATTTGAGAGTCCAGGATGAGCATTAAGCCAGAGTCCATTAAAGTTAGGCTTCTACAAGGATCAGGTTAATGCTAGCTATAAAAGTAAGGCACCCCCGTGGGTCTAAGGTACGCTGTTTTTTGTATTCTGGTTAGTGAGTTAAGCACTGTTTATTATCTTTGAGAGATAACTGAGTGTTGACTTGATCGTCGGAGTGCCCCCAGGTAGACGAACCATCGCCGGAGTCTTATCTTTCTGTGACAGGTTGTTCGGGCGAGATCTATTCTGCCGGTACTCTCTTGCTGGGTACCTGTTTGGCAGTGCGGTCAGAAATCAATACCCACAATTTGGCGTCATCTATGGGAAACGTAAGAATAATATATGGCCAACGACGGGCAGAAAGAAAAAATTGGAGGCGACATCCTAAATGGGAGTGGTAAAAACGCCGAGCCTAACGTAGAGAAAGACAACTGCAATGAAAAACCTCGGAATAAGAATCCCAGAGAGAAAGACATCGGCCAAGAGGGAGATGTACCGAAGAAAGCATGTCAGGGCGGGTATTACAATGAAAGCGACCTCCAGGTATGGAAAGATAGATACCTAAGAAGGGACAGCGAAGAGGGACGGTGAGATGAAGGGAATGGCAAACAAACTGGCAGACCTACAATCAGTCGTCAATTTCATGATGCAGAACAACGTCATGCAGCCACCATTTCCATTGGAGGACACGCCGATTCCAGCGGCCAAGAACGATGCCTAGAAAGGGGGGCAGAAAGCAATTCCCGCAGTCTCTCGGCATAACAAGGGAAGGGAACATTCGCATCGGCCTTCATGGGAGGTTGGAGGAGGAGAATCGATGAAAGGAGTCTTAGAAAACACATCGTGCCAAAGAAGCTTACGCCAAAGAACATCGGCATGTTCAAGGGAAGGAGCTTTGTTTCGACACGACTAATGGAGGGAGGTCCAAGAGGACTCATAACGACACCAAGAGTAATGCACTAAAAAAACTGAAATCCATTGACAGCCGAATGAACCAAGGAGGATTTGAGGGATTACCTCCAGAGAAAGCAACAAGATGATGAGGTAACCTCTCCGGTCAAGCCGAGAACACCATTTTCGGTAGAATTGGACAAGTTTGAGGCCCCAAAAAGGTTCCACATGCCGAGATTCTAGATATACGGCGGTAAGCCTGATCCCAACTTCCATGTCGGCTTATACTTGAACTCAATGGCACTGTACACCAAGAACGAGCCGTTGCTCTGCAAGGTGTTCCCATCATCCTTTGAGGAAATCGCATCAGATTGGTTTCACAAGTTGCCGAAAGGAACTGTGAAAAGCTGGGAAGGCCTAGCCGAGATGTTTGTGGCTAGGTTTGTTACAAACAAACTGCAGTCGTTGAGGGTAGACTCCTTGATGGCTTTAAGAATTGGCGAGGGTGAAAGCTTCAAGGCTTATGCCAAGAGGTATTATGAGGTGTTTAACCGAATGCCAAGGTGCAACCAAGAGGTGGTGGTCATGTCTTTTAAGAACTACCTGAACGATGGTTGTCTGCTTCGAAAATCACTAGCAAAGACACTGCAAAAAAGTATGAAGGAACTCATAGCCAGAATCAAGAAATATGCGAGAGCGGAGGAAGACATGCCAGGGACAAAGGCGTCAAACCAAGAGAAGAGGAACGGCTCTCCGAAGCGAGGCCGAGGTAATACAAACTTTAACAGACAAGAAATGGGATTGAGGGCTGCATAGGCAGTCACCACAGTGTTCCGGATCCCGATTTACAAAGTCCTGGAAAGAATCAGGAATCAGCCTTACTATAGAGCACCAGAGAAGATTCTTGGCGAATTTATAGGAAGAAGCCTTGGGAAGCACTATGCCTACCACAATGAGGACGGGCATCTAACTCAAGGGTGCAGAGGCCTGAAGACACATCTAGAAGACCTTATGAGACAAGGTCACTTAAAGGACCTGGTAGATGAGGCCAGAACAAGGGAAGAACAAGCAAGGCTGCCCCATGCACCGGCAGCACCACCTCCACCAGCACCACAACCGCCTACAGACGGACCTCGAGTGATCAATGTAATTCACTCAAAGGTCAATGAAAACAAGGTACATGGGGAGACTCAGAGGGTGAGACACTTACAGCATGTGAATCAGGTCCAACAAAAAAATCCTAGGGCAGACGAGTGTCAAGGACCAATGGTGTCCTCCACTGAAGCCAACCAAGACATGGTGCAGCATCCACACAACAATGCTCTGGTGATATCCTTGAAAATTGGAGAATGTCAAGTAAGGCGCATTCTAGTTGACCAGGGCAGCTCTTGTGACATCATGTACGTCAAATGTTACAAGGAGCTCGGCTTCACCAAGATGATTTGGAACAGTCCAACAGTCCAATGGTCAGGTTCAATGGAACGCCGACATGGCCCTTGGGAGCAATAAATTTGGAGGTGCAAACAAGCACCAGGAATGTGGGCACAGAGTTTACAATCATTGACACCCCCTCACATTACAACGTTATCTTGGGAAGACCATGGTTGCACGCAATGAGGGTTGTTCCCTCAACATTACACCAACTATTGTGGTTCCCAACGAAACAGGGAATTGAGGAGATCAGAGGAGATCAGGTGTAGGCGAAGAATTGCTCCATGGCAGCAATGAGATCCACCTGCAGCGTACGAGAAGCAAACACAGCCGAGATTGAGGATGAGGACATGGAGGTCCTGGATGACGTCAGCAAAGAACCAACCGAGAAAAGTGAGGAAGCCCTGAAGAAGATTATAGTCCAACAAAGGGACGAAGAGCGTTTCTTCCTCATCGGCTCAAGATTAGAAAAGGAGGAAGAAAGGAAGTTAGAAGCCTTCTTACGAACAAACATTGAGGTGTTTTCCTGGATGCCATACGAGATGTTTGGCATTGACCCAAGGTCATTTGCCATAGACTGAATGTGGACAGGTTGGCTAAACCTGTCATCAAACAAGAAAGGAGGCCAACGTTGATGCATGTTAAAGCAGTAGAAGAGGAGATAGGAAAACTGCTGGAGACCAGAGCCATTCGAGAGGTAAACTATCTAACTTGGTTGTCAAACACAGTTGTTGTGAAGAAGAAGAATGAGAAGTGAAGGGTCTGCGTGGAATTCACTAGCCTGAATAAGGCTTATCCCAAAGACAGTTTCCCACTCCCTAAAATCGATCAATTGATGGATGCCACTTCAGGGCATGGAAGGATGAGCTTCCTGGATACATATAAGGGGTACCATCAGATAGCAATGTACCCCTCTGATGAGGGAAAAACTGCATTTATCACCCCAAAAGGGTTGTATTACTACAAAGTGATGCCCTTCGGGTTAAAAAATACAGGAGCAACCTACCAGAGGTTGGTGACCAAGATGTTCAGACATCTAATTGGCAAAATAGTGAAAGTATACATTGATGAATGGTCGTGAAAACCAAAGAACCTGAGGATCATTTGGCCGACTTGAAGACAGTTTTCGACATCCTTAGAACATATCGGCTCTAACTCAATGCTTCGAAATGCGCATTTAGAGTTGGGTCTGGTAAGTTCTTAGGATACTTGGTTACCAGAAGGTGCATTGAGGAAAGCCCAGATCAAATCAAGGCCATCCTAGACTTGAAGAGCCCAACATCGTCAAAACAGATACAGATGTTGACTGGAAGGGCCGCAGCCCTGAATAGGTCCATAAGCAGAAGTTTTGACAAATGCAAACCATTTTTTAATTTAGTGAAAAACGCCACAAATTTTTTATGGATAGGAGTGCAAAGTCGCCTTGGCCGACTTAAAAAAATACCTGACCATAGCTTCAGTTCTCTCAAATCCAGTACATGGAGAGGAGCTGTTCTTATACTTGGCGGTTTCGGAGTATACAGTGAGTGTAGTGGTAATCAGATAAGAGAATGGAGAACAGAGGGTAGTTTACTATGTGAGTAAAACCCTAGCAGACGCAGAGACTAGGTATTTACCCCTGGAGAAATTGACATTGGCCTTGATAATGGCCTCCAAGAAGTTGAACCACTATTTCCAAGCCCACAAGATTGTGGTATTGACTGAACACCCCTTAAAATCCCTACTACAGCAAGGAGATCTGACAGGCAGGGTGACCAGATGGGCAGTGATATTGGGCTAATACGATTTGGAGTTCAGACCTAGAACAACAATCAAAGGCCAGGTTCTGGCCGACTTCGTGGTCGAGTTCACACCTGGCGCCATTCCACGTCGGGCTCCGGTGAGCCGCGGCTTAGGATGTCCAGGTGAACAAGAAGAAACCCAGCTGGAAATGAAAAACCCCGCATCAATAGAGCAGAAAAAATAAGAGAAACTCAAACATTGCGACATTTACATTGGCGACTCCTTCCGCCTGTTCATTGATGGGAGTTCAAACCGTTGGGGAACGGGGGCAGGAGTAGTGCTAGTGTTGCCAGATGGGTAGATGTTAGAACAATCTATTCGACTGGGGTTTATGGCTTCAAACAATGAAGCAGAATATGAAGCACTGATCGCGGGACTAAAATTGGCAGCAACAATGGAAGTCGACGATGTGGTAGTCTTCTGTGACTCCCAGTTTATTGTGAACCAGGCAACGGGCGAATATGTAGCCTGAGATAAAAGAATGATAGCCTATGTCAAAGAGGTTGTTAGACTACTATTCTTATTTCAAGACTAGCGACTACAGCAGGTTAGCCGAGATGACGATAGTCATGATGATGCTTTGGCTAACCTGGCTAGTGCAATGAAATCAGGGGAGGCTATTTGTTAGGGCCAAGTGTGGAACCACTAATCACAGAGTATGAAACAATGTGTGTGGAGATGAGACCAAGTTAGATAGATACCATAGTAGTATTCCTTGGAGATGGAAAGCTATCAGATGATCGCAAAGAAGCACACAAGACCAGACTGAAGTCGGCGAGGTTCAGTCTGACAGCAGAAGGACATCTCTATAGAAGGTCTTTTACTGGTCCCCTTTTGAGATGTGTGCATCCGTCACAAGTTGAAGACTTCTTGTATGAAATACATGAAAGAGTATGTGAAAGCCACGTTGGAAGTAGGTCCCTTGCTCGTAAGGCCATTACTGAGGGGTACTGGTGGCCCTACATGCAGAAAGATGCTGAGGCCTATGTCAGAAAGTGCGAGAAGTGTCAAAAGTTCGCACCTTTGATACACCAACCAGCAGCAGATTTGAACTTAGTGTCTAAGCCTTGGCTATTTGCCCAGTAGGGCATGGATCTAGTTAGGCAATTACCCCAAGCAACTGGACAAAGAAAATTCTTGTTGGTAGCAACAGATTACTTCACCAAATAGGTAGAAGCAGAACCCTTTGCAAAGATTTGAGATGTTGATGTGAAGAACTTCATATGGAAGAACATCATCACTAGGTTTGGGATCCCAAGGGAAATAATAGCAGACAATGGCACGTAGTTTGACAGCAAGCTAATCAAGAGCTTCTGTGTAAAGTACAAAATCAAGAATTATTACTCTACTCCAAGCTTCCCTCAGAGTAATGGTCAAGCAGAAGCATCCAATAAAACAATCCTAGATGGGATCAAGAAGAGGCTGGTAACAGCAAAGGGAAAGTGGGTGGATGAGTTGCCCAATATACTCTGAACATATCGAACTACATCGAGAAGATCAACTGGAGAATTCCCATTTGCCATGGCTTATGGCACTGAAGCAGTCATCCCACTAGAAGTTGGCATCCCAGGGATCAGAACCCAGGGAGTAGAGAATGGGACTAATGAGGCATTCCTAGCCCGAGATCTGGACCTGTTGGAAGAAAGAAGAGAGAGAGCAGCAATTCGGCTGAGGGCATACCAGCAACAACTTGCTAGGGCTTACAACAAGAAGGTTAACCCAAGAGAATTCAAAGTTGGGGACCTTGTGCTGAGGAAAGTGGTGGGCAACAAGAAGGATCCCAGAAAGGGCAAGCTTGGGCCAAATTGGGAGAGACCTTATAGAATTATCTCGGTTGCCGGTAATGGTGCATATTAGCTTGAGGACAGTGATGGCAAAGAATTGCCAAGACCTTGGAATAGTTGCAATTGAAGTTTTTCTACCATTATATTTTTTGTTTTTTAAAGTTTTTTTGTTATTAGCAGAAACAATAATAAAATTTTAGCCTGATTTTTAATTTTAAACTTGTGTAATACGACTAACCAATTCTTTGGCGATGTTTCTAAGTGAAACATGACGAATAACTTAGACTTATTATATGGCAGAGTTGAATTATACTTGCATATAATAGAGTTGAACTAAGTTGGCAATGTTTCTAAATGAAACATGACGAATAACTTAGATTCATTAAATGGCAGAGTTAAAATTATACTTGCATATAATAGAGTTGAACTAAGTTAGATTAAACTAGATTTGCCCTATCAGCAGAATTAAACTCAGATTGGAACTAAGTGCCTTTCAGTATGATTAAACAGAGAAACCAAGGTTAAGAGCCTCGGCTAGTCATTATTTGAATCTAACTTCGGCAACAAGATCATAGGCACATGCTTTATGTGAACACAGGTGAAACTTAAGTTTATATTAGGGGGCAGAGAGCTGGAGAATGATGAATAAAGTTTAAAGTGCTTAAAATTTTACAAGCTAGAGTTGGCTTAACACTTGTTGAAATTTTCAAAAAAATTTATAAGTTGAAGGTAAGCCGAGGTAATATTGCAAGAAGTGCATACGTACTTGCCGAGATGACCAGGTTGCCCAACGTAGAGAGTATAGAAGATAGAAGTCTTGATAAGTAAGAGTGAAGTGGCAAGTTTAAAACAACACTTGTGGAAATATTTTTATAATGTTTCCAAGTGTTAAGCCAAGGCCGAGATAAACAATTAAAAGGTTATGTCTGAGGTATTGTACTTCGAAGAGGTTATACAGATAAAGGTATACTTTGAAGATATGCAAAATTATTCTAAGTATGGAATGGTAAACATACATAGAAAAAAAAGAAGGCATACATTCAACACTTTGAAGAAAATATAAGACTTGCATTCAGTAGAGAAACTTGTTCAGATACAAAAAGGCACTTCGACCTGGCATAGGAGATTACTTGTTCATCTACAAAGACAAAAAGGGCACATCGGCCAAATATAAAGCTAACATTGTTCAGAATGTAAAAAGTACTAAGTACAGAAATAAAAGCTTCTAGTTAGACTACTGCAGGATGTGTCTCGGCCTCAAAAGACAATTGGGAAATCTTCTCGGCAACCTTCTCAGCCTTGAGCTCGGTGTCAATTTCTTGTAGAGTTTGATCGAGCCTCTTCTCGGCGATAGGCACCTCGGGCATAGTCTTCTTGAGGGAGGCACTTTTTAAGACCTCGTCCTCCTCATCCTTAGTCAAGTTCAGGACTTGCTCATTCAGAGTTAGGGACTTGGCCCCAGCAGAACCCTCAGCATCAGCTGCCACCTCGGCCTCTTCGTCTTCTTCTTCCTCTTCATCTTCTTCTTCATCTTCATCTTCTTTTTCTTATTCTCCTTATTTTCCCCCAATCTTAGCCTCAGATTGGCTTGAAGCATGAGGGAATGGCATCGCAAGTCGGCCTTCATCTCTAAAGGGAGAGTCCTCAGGGACAGCCAGCTCTATCAGAGCAGCCATCCAACCAAGGGTGTAATCCTTGTTGCA